CGGTATCCCAGTCACAAATAGAAGAACATAATCTGAGATTAAACATGCCATTGAACAGTTTCAATGAATCTCAAAAGATCTAGGAATTTCACTTAACTTAATTTCTTTCAAATTTTGTTTTTCTATTGGTGGAATTGGTAAATCGTCATTTACCTACCTTTATAAAATTTGCGATTAGATTACGACATCCTTTTTCTAAGTTGTAAATTATATAGTTAGATCCTAGCCTTAATATTTCATTTTTGGGTTGTTATATTAAGGATTATTCTTATCTAACTAAAAACTACCTTCCTTTTATAGAAGTGTAGTCTGAATGATGCTTCTAGTTCCTCCTCCTCCTCATCCCAAAACTTTTCATTGCTAGTCAGCTGCTCAAAGCTGACATTGGATGGCACCAACCACAATGACTGGATGCGCAAAGATGGCCCTTCGTTTCGAGGACAAGTAGTACGTCCTTGAGAAAGAACTAAATGATATCGACGAAGAGATTGACACTGCTAAAGAACCAAATGAATACACGAGACACTACAATGATGCACCAAAAGTTGCTTGCATCATGGTAGCCACCATGACTCCTGAGTTGCAAAGGTTCTATGAGGATTACTAGCCATACGAGATGAACAAGGACCTTATAGAAAAGTACTATAAGCGTGCTCATCAAGAAAAGTACGAAGTGGTAAAGTCCCTCATAACAAGAAAGATCAAAGATGGAGAGTCTGTGAGCAGCCACGTGAAGAGGATGCAACGATATATGGATCAACTTGTTAAGCTGAATGTGAATATCGATGAGGAGTTGGCTATTGACATAGTCCTTAACTCCTTACCTACTTGTTATGATTAGTTCATCCTGACTTATCATTTGAACAACAACAATGAGACTACTTTGTCTCAGTGGCACAACCTCCTGCGAAAAACTAAAGCAGGAATGAAGGGAAAATGTGTTGCCTCCACTCCTGCTAGTGCTCCAGTTCTGGACATTGGTCAAGGTAAATGTAAAAAGAGGAAAGGTTCTCCAAATCAAAACTGGAAAGGAAAGTCTTATGTTGGGTCATCAAGTAATGGACCCAAAGGAAAATCCAGTTCTGATGCTCCCCCTGTCTCTTATCCCAAAGAGGCCACTTGCTTTTACTGCGACGATAACAGACATTGGAAACGAAGTTGCCCAAAGTATCTGCAAGATATCAAAGATGGAAAGGTGAAACCAACTTCAGCAGGTATATACACTATCTTATTTAATAACTCATCAAATTCTTGTTCTTGGGTCGTTGATACATGACGTGGATTTCACATTTGTTCTGATTTGCAGGGGCTAAGAAGAAGTGAGGACCCGGAGCACGGTAGACTGAACTTGATCATAGGGAATAAACGATCTTCACCTGTCACCAAGATTGGAGTTTATAGTCTAGTGCTTAGTAATGGGTATAGTTTAGATTTATTGAATTGTTGCTACTCGTCAGAAATGACACATAATATTATTTCTTTTCATGCATTGTTCAGATAAGGTTTTAGATATGGTTTTAATGATTTGAATGATTCAATTTCGGTTTATAAAAATGGTGTTTTTTATTTTTATTTTGAAGCTTTACCTTGTAATGGTGTGTAAGAAACTATGATATACGTAGACAATTTAGGTAATAGTGTTTTTCAAATTGATTCATCTAATGGTATAGATAAAGTGTGCTTGCGGCATTGTCGTCTTGGACACATTAACAAGAAACGCATCGCCCAACTCCAAAATGCTGGAGTGTTGGAATCATTTGACGTAAGTTCAGATGATACATGCGAATCTTGTCTATTGGGTAAGATGAAAAATCACATTTCACTAGATCTTGTGAAAGAGGTGAAGGTTTGTTGGATCTCATACACACAGATATGTGTAGGCCTTTCAGATCATCCACAAAGGAAGCTAATCGATTCTTTGTGACTTTTACTGATGATTATAGCATATATGGATATATGTACTTAATCAACCATAAGTTAGAAACCTTTGAAAAGTTCAAAGAGTTTAAGCAAGAAGTCGAAAATCAATTGGGTAGGAAGATAAAGATGCTTAGATCTGATAGAGGTGGTGAGTATCTTAGTATCGAGTTGCACGACCACCTCAAGGAATGTGTAATAGTTTCACAATTGACTCCTCCTAGGACACCACAACTTAATGGTGAGGTTGAGAGGCGCAATCGAACCTCGTTGGACATGGTTCGTTCTATGATGAGTCGAGCTTCTCTTCCAATTTCATTATGGGGGTATGTCTTAGAGACTGCCGCCCACATTCTTAATCTTGTCCCAACTAAGAAGGTTACCAAAACACCTCACGAGGAGTGGACTGAGAAGGTTCCCTCGTTAGCACATATCAAGGTTTAGGGTTGTGAAGCTTTCATTAAACGAGAGATTCACGACAAGCTTGAACCTCATAGTGAGAGATGTATTTTCATCGGCTACCTACAGAAGTCCTTTGGATATTTGTTCTACAGACCTAGTGAAACGTGGTCTTTGTAGCACGAATAAGAGTCTTTCACGAGAGAGAGCTCATATGCAAAGAGGACAGTGGGAGCACCATTGATCTTGAAGAGATTCAAGAATCAAACGATGAAGGAACCTCTGAAAACGCTAGGGTTCAACCAGAGGAAGAGATTCCAGTTGAACCAATTGACGAATCATTACCTCTTAGACGGTTGCCATGATGTACATGCATGTGTTGTAAGTCGAATACTCGTTATCATGTTTATAAAGTTCTTGTTAAAATTTGGTTTAATGACATAAAATTACAACCTATAGTACTCAATTTTCTTTTTAAGCCACTCATCCATTAATTGTATTCAATACACCACCAATAGATTGGGTTCTCATTACATTATTGGGTGGATTTCAACATGCACTTTCTCTGAATCCAATGGGGTGTACATTGCGGAATCCAAATTCGAGTATCACTAAATACTTGATGTTGACATGGCGTTAACGTTGGGATGACGTCCACATTGACATTTACTATGACACAATTAGTCGGTAGAATATATTCTAATTATGTAATGAGAACCAAAAAAAAATTATTGACCTATTGAACACAATTAAAAGATAAATTATCCAAAAAAAACATACTAAATACTATTGATAAGGAAAATTCCGGTATTTTGCAGCGAGAAGGAGGGAATTGCACGGCTTAAAGTTTGCATGAGACTAAATAAGACCGACATTAGGTGCTTTCATGACATTGGTGCAAGATAATATTATATATACTATCAATTCCTAAAAGCTTAGCTACAGTAAACTTTTTTCTCTTTCCTATTTTGCCACCTACGTTTTTTTTTTTCATTTTCAGCCACAATATTACTTCCCTTTCCCATTCTTCTCTTCCATTCTTATCCGCTTTTCACCGCCTATGTTGCCCACCGCCTATATTGCCCAATCGATTGCATTTGCTTCCACCGCCTTCTTCTACTGCTTTCATCTATAGTTCTACACCACACATAGGGGTGTCAATTTATGACACGACACGACAAAAATACACGACACGAAACGAAATCGGGACGAAATAAAAATTCGAATTCGTTTTCGTGTCGTGTTCGTGTCAAGTATAAAAAACACGATGTCGTGTCGTGTCGTGTTCGTGTTTACAAATCCACATGAAATTGACACGACTGAGCATGTGTTTGTCATGTTTTTCGTGTTTGTCGTTTTTATCGTGTTATATATGATTAAATATGAATTAAATAAAATAATAGTTATGTAATATTATCTTTGTCGTGTAGTGTCGTGTTGTCGTTTTTTAATTGGTTCGTTTTCGTGTTGGTGAAAAAAAACACGACATCGTGTCGTGTCGTGTTCGTGTTATAAAAAACCTTGTCGTGTCGTGTCGTGTCAGACAAAAACACGACACGACGGCCCGATTTGACAGGCCTAACCACACATGCCACCGTTCATTTGAAGAGTTGTCGTCTCTCTCATCGTTATCTGTTTGTCTCTCCCGACATTATTCCGATAACCACCCGCTAACACAGTCGGCGCCACACCCTACCCACCTTCAACCTAATGAATCGTCTCCTTCACACGGTTGTTTCCTGGGCAAAGCCCCCTGCACTTCTATTCCTCTTCAAGCATCAACTGTGCTCTTCCTGTGTTCTCTTCAAGATACGTGTTTCATTCTGAATCGATAGTTTCTATTGGTAGTTGTGGGTTTTTGATTCCATGCATTCAATTGGTGGTTGTGAGTATCCCTTCATGTTATCCCGATAAGTAGATTTGTGTTGCTTTATGTTCTGACAGCCTGAGAGGCGAGCTTTCATCCATGAGGTTAAAATTTTGGTATCGCCAACAATTTGTTGGTTTCACGTCCACCAGGTTTGAATACCTAATCGGCTCTGATTCCTGTGTGAAGATGAAAAGGGGAAGCGGACGGACCACTCGACTCTGTCATTAATGACGCTTGAAGATGGGGATCAAACATCCACAAAACTGGTAATACCAATCACAAGTGTTAATTTTTCAGTTTTTCAACGGATTTGTTTAGTCTCCTTAATCATCACTCCTCTTCTCAATCGATTACTTCTTCCACTGTGTTTTCTTGATATCGATTTTCAGATTAACTGATTTGTTTGGTTAATTGTGGAAATCCTAGCTATATTAGTTCATTTATAGATGCTTTTAATTTGTAGGTGCAAGGACTGAATTAGATGCTTTGTCACGCTTTAGCTGATTCATTCTGGATATATTGTTGTCTTCGGTGATTCCGACCAGTTGTATATATTCAGTTGATGAATTGATTTTATTGCGGAGTAGTAGGTTTTCTTCATGCTTTATTGTTCTTGAAACTGAATGCTAGGTCCAAAATAAAAATGTTTTTGTAAATTTTGAATTGTAATTTTTGCAATCAGTGCCTTCCGGGTATATCTCATACACCCTCATAACTTCATAGTTTATAGTTTTTGAACTTTCGTTGAAGAATTCCACTTTGTAACTCTCATTTCAATTCTATAAATTTTCAGTCAGATGTCCCAAGAACTGTGATGGTTTCCTGTGAGAGATATGGGTTCGCATTGAACATCATTGACACACCAGGCTTTGTTGAAGGAGGTTATATCAATGAGTAGGCCATTGACGTCATCAAAAGGTGTGTACTCAATATTGAATATTATTTATGAATTATGTCTGAATGGGTTGTTTGTCATTTTGCAGGTTTCTTTTGAACAAAACAATAGATGTTTTCTTATATGTGGATCGATTGGATGCGTATAGAAAGGACAACTTGGATAAACAGATTGTGAAGGCAATAACAAAGAGTTTTGGTATATAAATATGGTAGAAAGGAGTGGTAGTGCTAACACATGCTCAACTTACACCACATGATTGTCTTAGTAATTATGACTTCTTTGGAAAAAAATCAAGGTCTCTTCTGAAAGTTGTAGAATCTGCTGATCGTTCCAAGAAACGTGAAATTCAGGTAGTTTGCTTTTTAATAATTTATTAATTTTCTTTAATCTGATTGTTTTGAATATTTGTTGTAAGGTATGAAAGTTAAATAATCTTGAATCAAGACATAACGCGTAATTACAGTTCTGCCATTGAGGTATGAAAGTTAAAGTTTTTGTGTATCCACAAGGGAAAATATGTAATTTTTCATACTAAGTTGATGTAAATTATCTTTTATAGGAATTTGCTTCAAATTTTAACTACCCAAGTGGTACTGTGAATCATGCTGTCATTTATTGCTCCCGATTTATCAATAATCAAGAAACACGTAAGATTCTGAATTTTTTTTATTCTTTATTCATTAACTAAAGTTTGATAATGTATTTCAGATTGATGACCAGGTAAACGGATATCTTTTCCAAAAAATGAATATAAAGGATTTAGGTCAGATTATTCTTCGATTAATATCAAATGGGAGATTATCATCTCTAGCTCACAATATAGCACTAATAGGAAAACACATTTGGAATCCGTTGAAGGGTATGCTTCATTGATAGAAAATGTCATGAACCTTCCATCTGAAGATGCATCTCCAAGGGCAGTTTCGGAAATTCCTTCAAAAATCAAAAAGCGAGTGGCAGTGGGGTCTTTTTGAAGACATCCCAGATCGTAAATATGTAAATAGAAGTTCAAGGGTTCATAATTTCTTGAAAAAGGTTGAAAATAAGTGGGGATTTAAAAGAGAGTTATGTTGATATTAGTTTTGATGATACGTTTTTGTATAGTATTTGGGAAGAAGAGAAAAGTATTCAGACAACAATGGCTAAAAAGAGAAGAGAAGATGGTGAGGTAAGAAAGAACTTTATAAAGATTTTATCTTTACCTTTTTGAATATCATGTTTAGAGTTTAGACCTCATTTTTGTTGTGAATTTTATATAGTTGAGGGATAGAAGTGAGCACCCAAGGGGAACATGGGAGGAAATATACAGAAGTGCAAAGAAAGCAGATAGAAATAAGAATGATTTGCATGAGAGAGATGATGGGGAGCTTCAAAGAACAGGTCAACCGTTGTGCATCTATGAACCTTATTTTGGTCAAGGAGCTTGGCCTTTTTTACATCATGAGTCACTTTATCGTGGTTTTGGATTGGTGAGTTACTTTATTTTATATAAAAGATTGCAACTTTTTTCTTCTTTTGGAAAACACAAGAAGCTATAGTTGACAACAAGTTGTTCATGTTGATTGTAGCAACAAAAAGATTGTAACTTTTTTCTTCTTTTAGAAAACACAAGAAACTATAGTTGACAACAAGTTGTCCATGTTGATTCTTGCAACAAAAAGATTGTAAATAGTGGAACAAGAGTAACTTTAATGTCTTTAAAATTATGTTATTGAAGTCAACAAAAGGGAGAATATCAAGAATCGATGACATTGATGGACCTTCTCATCTTCCTCTTCTAAACATGCCATATTACCGTGATGCCCTTGGTGATTTTGGAGCCTTTTTTGCAATTGCTAATCGAATTGATTGTATACACAAGAATGCTTGGATTGGATTTTCATCATGGAGAGCCACAACTAAGAAGCTATTATACATAAATTTCCATAAAAATCGCAACTTTTATGGAAAATGTCATCAATTTCTTTAATGGTAACTTTTTATGATTGTTATTAAAATTTGAGGTTTTGAAAAAAAAAAGAACAGACTTCTTTGTCAAAGGCTGCTGAGGTGGCGTTATTGGAGGACATTCAAGGGCGTAGACATGGTGATGCTTTATATTTTTGGGTAAGAATGGATAAAGATCCAAGAAATCCAATGCAACAAGATTTTTGGACATTTTGTGATGCTATAAATGCGGGTAATTGCAAGTAAGTAGTAGTCTCTATAGCTGTTACATTCTTTTGATGCAAATCTTTTTTATTATTTGAGTAATGTATAAAATACCCTTGTACTTGATTTGTTGAAGATTTGCATTCTCAGAAACTTTGAAGAAAATGTATGGGGTGAAGGATAACTCGACTTCTCTTCCTCCAATGCCTATGGATGGAGATTCATGGTCTGTTATGCATAGTTGGTCTATGCCAACAAAGTCTTTCTTGGAATTCGTCATGTTTTCAAGGTTTGAATTCTTTTTGTAATTGATTTTAAAAAAAATTATTCGAAAGATTTTTGTTTTAATAACATGGGATTAATGTTGATTTGTAGAATGTTTGTGGATGCATTGGATGCACAAGTTTATGATCAGCATCATCATAGTGGTCTTTGCTACTTAAGTTTATCCAGGGTGATATTTTCCTTTCATGCAATTTATTTTATGATTGACTTTTATAGTAAAATTCTTCGACAAAAAGAATATTACAAGATTTTTACAAATTTGTCTAGAATTCTTTTTTTGTTCCAGTAACTTTAAAATTTATATTGTTAAATAAATGTAACCAGATAATAATTCGTATAAAAATAGTTCGAGTTAATTATGATATTAATAAATGAGAGGATTTTATTAGATAAATAATTTTATTCAAAACATATTAAAATAAATATTCAACGGTTTTTACACATTCAGTATTGCTATGATTGAGTCAAAATTTCAAATTACAATGTTATAATAACGCAAAAAAAAAGTAGAATGCTATAATAAAACAATAAATGAAAAATAATATTCGTATGAAGACCCCTTCTGTATATGTAATATGTTTTGATTAATATTATACTATGTTCTATCAATTGGTACAGCTTGAAATAAGGAAAAAAAAAAAACAAACACAGCGCCAAAGGCGCAACTAATTCCCCTCTAGTTAAGAATCGTAGTTTTCCTTGGTAATTATTATCTATTGTGATCCATGTAAACAGTTTATTATTATTATTATTATTATTATTATTATTATTATTATTATTATTATTTTATTTTATTTTATTATGGGAAACTAGAAATTAAAAGGAAAAAAAAATATTTCCTTTCACATTTTCTAGATTTTCTAGAAATAAAAGCATTGTTATTGTTATGGCCGTTCTAAATATGTTTTAGAACAAAATTGTTTTTCGATATTAAATAAAAGATAAAACTTTATCAGCAAGCTTTGACCGGTTATAATTGATGGTGGAACGAACCCTATCTTTCGTTACTTAGCTAGTTTTGGGCCTTGATCGGGACTAGTCCAAAAATTCCATGAACAATAGTATTATTAGACATGAAAAAGTGACCAATATTGGGTTGATTCCAAAAAAGAGACTATACCAAACCATCGAGAACAGACTAAAAAACGACTGGTCCGAAATAAAGACCAGACCATCCGAAATAAAAACACACTCTTCCGAGACCGGTTTCAAAACAAACCGGACCATTCCAAACTTTTGTAAACCCGATCAAAGATCGGTTTCAAAAAAGTATGAAAGTGAAATATTATAGACATTATTTTGTGTTATATTTTTTAATCACGTTATCCAACCGAATTAAAGAAAGAAAATTATAGTTTTAACTAAATTAGGAAAAGAAAAAAGATAAACTTAGCTTAATTATAAAAATATTTTAAAAAATTAAAAAAATTAAAAAACGACTTAATTAGCCATTGATTTACATGTCAGATGTGACACTGAGACTTAATAGGTTGTCATTCGGCTATGGTGGACTGCGATTTCGCTTATGGATTGTGTTTTTTTGTGATGGGCCAAACCCATGAGCTCATCATTTTTAATTTTGAAAAAAAATATCTATTTTAATATAAGTAATATCTATATTTTACTATAAGTAGTTGTTGTATAATTTTATGTAGTGGACATTTGTTAAATCTAACTTAAGGAAATGAACATCGTACATGAGATTGAGAAGATGAAACCATAGATGGTTAGATACCATATGTGATTTCATCATTTGGCAAAATGCCAAAATTTAATTTTTATTTTGATTTTATACTTTTGATTAAATCGTATGTCTAACCCGAAAATCACAGTTCAAATGACGCAAATGGCAAAACTTGAAAATATTTGTCTTTTTCTATTAAAACAAATTAATAAAGTGTATTAACTAAAAGAAAAATAATGAAACTTATTATTCTCTAATAAAAAGTATTTGAATTTTTAAAAACTTTCAAAATATCATTTGGTTGGGTGACATATTTTCAATACAATTGATACCACTATATGATAGAACTTTCATACTCAAATTAATTATTACATCCAAACTCACGTATCAATAAAAGAGTCATACTTTTCGCTACATAATTGTGCTTCAAGGAGTTCACTTTGCTCAATCTGTAAATAACCAAATACATGAATGAGACATAAACATTGCATGTGATACGACTTCTTGAATACTTATAGTTTATGATGCCTTTTTATAAGAAAATAATCAAGTTTTTATTAAATTATTACAAAGATTTATATTTCACGTAGTAAAAGTCGATAATGTTAACGTACTCGTTTATTGCAATTTTCTTTGGGAAATTGTCAGAAAAGTCCTAATATTTTTAGAAAAGTTATACATTAGTCCAAAGATTTTTTTTTTGAACAAAAAAGTCCCGATTATTTCATTTTGGTTCAAATTTACAAAAAAATCCTTTTTTTTCTTTTAACGGAAAATGACATATTATCGTGTTTTTAAAAATAATCGGGACTTTAATGTTAAAAAAAATATATTGGGACTAAAGTGTAACTTTCCTGAAAATATTGAGACTTTTCTGACAATTTCCCATTTTCTTTAGGCATAAAGGCGTACTGTAAAACGGCTATTCAGTTCGTAAATACGTTGTATCCAAGAATTTTTTTTACATTAATACCCGGGAAATCTTCGGAAAAGTCATAATATTTCACTCTAATTTACGAAAAAGTCCCAAACTAAAATTGGTTTATGAAAAAGTCCCGATTACCGGAAAAAATGACGATTTGACCATTTTTTTCCGGTTTATCGGTTTCAACAATTATCCGGTTTCATTAAAGTCCCATTATTTTACCATAATTTTCATTAAAGTCCCATTATTTTACTATAATTTGGGACTTCTTCGTAAATTGTGGTAAAATAATGAGATTTTATTAAAACCGGGTAAGTAATGAAACCGGTAAACCGGGAAAATATGGTCAAATCGTCATTTTTACCGGTAATTGGGACTTTTTCGTAAACAAATTTTAGTTTGGGACTTTTTCGTAAATTAGGGTAAAATATTGGGACTTTTTCGGAGATTTCCCTTAATACCCCTACACAAGTACAACTTTTTACCTTAATACCCCTATATCACAAGTACAATACAAACACAAGGCATAGCTACAAGATCGGAAAACACTATAGTTTATACTTTGAACAAATCTTAGCTGGTGGACCCTCCTACTCCATCGGTATCGCAGGTGGCCTTCGTCTCCATTTCTTATAGAACACACTCTCTCTCATTAACTCAAACCATTAACCTCTGGTTTTTACAAAACATGGCTGCTTCATCCTCGTACCCTCTGAAAGATGACCTGGATATTGTCATACCTACGATTCGTAACCTCGATTTCCTCGAAATGTGGAGGCCATTCTTTCAACCATATCATTTGATCATTGTTCAAGATGGTGATCCTTCTAGAACGATAAAGGTCCCTGATGGGTTTGATTACGAGCTTTATAATCGAAATGATATTAACAAGATCTTGGGTCCAACAGCTTCCTGTATTTCGTTTAAGGATTCAGCTTGTCGATGCTTTGGGTATATGGTTTCCAAGAAGAAGTATATCTTCACCATCGATGACGATTGTTTTGTGAGTTGCTTTTTCTGGTTTTTCAATTTAAAGATTTATAAGAATGTGTTGTTGTTTGGATTCCCGATGGTTAAACTTTAAAGTGTCTTGAAATTCATAAAGAAACAAAAGCGTAACATCTTTTGACTGTTTTGATGTATGATCTTAGGTTTTCTACTTTTCTTCAGTAAAAAGATGCACTTTTTTATTATTATTATTATTATTATTATTATGCATAATATACAGAGAGAAAAAAAGAAGAAGCATATTTTATTGAGATTTAGCATTTACTCGAATCTTTAACCCTTTGGTCGACAGGTCTTAAGTTTTAACTAACATAATCTGTACTTTCATATATTGTTTATTAATACTCTCATTTCCGTTCATTACAACACTGAACTGTCATTTCCATTTATTACAACATTAAACTCTCAAAGTACAATGTTTTACATGAATAAAATGAAACAATGTACTTTGGAAAATTTTACTAGAAGCTCTAAAATAAAACAATGTACTTTGGAAAATTTTACTTAAATACAATCATTTGTTTTATATTTGGGTGACATTGTTATAACCAAACAAAATTTTCAAGACTTTTCAAAGTACAATGTTGTACATAGATAAATAAAAGTTTTTAACTCTAAAATTTGTCTAATCTTAACAATGTCGATAGGTAGCGAAGGACCCGACTGGGAAAGACATAGATGCACTTCAACAACACATCAATAACCTCCTCCACCCTTCAACGCCTTATTTCTTCAACACCCTTTATGATCCTTTCTCCGATGGTGCAGATTTTGTCCGTGGTTACCCTTTCAGTCTTCGTGAGGGTGTCCCAACCGCAGTATCTCATGGTCTATGGCTCAACATCCCCGACTATGATGCACCAACACAACTCGTTAAGCCCCGAGAGAGAAACACAAGGTACATTGTCAGTTTACTATGGGCATTTTTCAACAAATCGGTCCTACAACTAACATGGGACATGTAAATCACAATGTCCCCAAACATGAGACATCTCTTATAGATTCTCATCTTCTTACTGCTAGGACACTTTTGTGTGGAACGTGATACATCGTCTATGGATTCTTACTGCTAGGAGATTCACGTGGGGATAGGACATTAAAGCATATTCTTATAGATCCATGTCTTTTTTTTTCCGTTGTGTTTTGATGAAATTTGGGGTTTTTAGGTATGTTGATGCAGTTATGACACTCCCAAAGGGGATCTTATTCCCTATGTGTGGAATGAACCTCACATTTGATCGGAGCCTCATTGGTCCAGCCATGTACTTCGGACTCATGGGTGATGGTCAACCTATTGACCGCTATGACGACATGTGGGCCGGATGGTGTGTCAAGGTACTTATGATCTCTTTTACCTATAAACTAAACCATTCCATCACTTAAATAGTTCAATTCAACACTTTATGACAATTTTGTAGGTTATATGTGACCATTTAGGGCTCGGGATCAAGACAGGGCTACCCTACATTTGGCATAGCAAGGCAAACAACCCATTCGTGAACCTTAAAAAAGAATACAAAGGCATATTTTGGCAAGAAGAGATTATCCCATTTTTCCAAGACGCTACTCTTCCAAAAGAGTGCACAACGGTGCAAGCTTGCTATAAAGAATTATCGAAACAAGTTAAGGATAAACTCGGAAAAATTGACCTGTATTTTGTCAAGCTTGCAGACGGCATGGTTACATGGATCGATGCTTGGGAGGAACTCAACCCATCAGCTAAGGCAACTAATGGAAAGTGAAGAGATATATTATATATACATAGACATCATCTTGGACAACGTTGAGCATAATAAACATGATGGTTTAAATTTATTGTTTTTGTTTATGGATCGAAGAACTTGTAACATTAGTGTTTGTGATATTAAAAAGTTTTTAATTTGTGAAAAAAAATCAAACAGGTTTTAATCGGTAATAATGATGAAACTAAACTGAACTGATGAAACAAAACCAAACTACAAAAACTAACAAAACTTCAACACTTGTAAGCTCCAAAATCAGTAATTTAACATGTTTTTTTTTGTGAAAAAATGAGGAAAAAAGGTCTGATTTATGGGTTTCTTAATGATATGGAAGTTGGATCTTTTGTTTTTATACACTTTGCTTGTGACTCTTCTTTTTCTTCTTGTTCATCATTGTTAAGGACACCATTCACTGCATCCACATCCAATAAAATATGTGCTTGTAGGTTATGGTGCGACCCACCCTTAGTTTCAGAGCTCAATATTTATGAGGATTGGAAAAAAATTGTGCGGATATTTTGGCTGGTTCTTTGCTTAATGATACAACTGCCCTTAAAAAATAGCCTGTTGAATATAGCAAAAATGAAAAAAATTAGTGTGTAAACTAATTGTTTGTTTGTTACATTTTATGATGAGGATGGGACCCTGAGTCCATGTTCCTATCAGTTCCATATTTTTTGGTAGGAAAAAAACAATTTTTGTCTTATTGCCATAAATCTAATTCAAATGCATAATATAAAAGAACTGAACTCAAAGATACCCGATGAACGAGTTCTTTGGCAAGGATGAAAAATCTGGACTGATAAGATGATTTAACTTTCATGGGATGATTTTTAACGTTGCCAAATTTTTTAACAAATAAAGATAAATTCCAGGCATCAGTGGTTCATCTTGAATGATAGTTTAAAGAAAAATATGCTTACCCAACAACACATGATATCCTATATGACATCTATAAGAGCATAAAATTTTAACCCTAATAGGTTCATAAGAGTTCCTAAGATACGATATCCCCCATTAATTAGAGCGTACCTAAAAGTTACTGTGGATGGGGAAGTGCACTTAAGGGTCCTACAAAGATGGAGTGAACTCCGGAAAAATGAACATCAAGCAATTCTTGAAAACATATTGGAGAATCATGTAACAAGTTGCTATAAGAAACTGATATAAAATTACTTATTAGTTCTCTCACGAACTTACTTGTCTTTATCTTTATCTGATTAAATGCGAAAACCCATACCCCTTAAATTGTAACAGATATATAGTCAAATGCAGTATATCAATTTTTTATAGCTTTGAATTCGGTCAATATGGATGTGATCCAGCCTTCATCACCTATGTTATATTTCTTGCCACAATCACTACACTCTTATAGAACAACCAGACTGATTTTTCCTAAATAATATATTTTTAAATGATATTTCATATACTTTTAGATACACTTTTATGATTAAAAAAATAGGGTAAAGGTGCTTAATTGATTTATATTTATGTTTTGCAGCTAAAATGATATGTTGGTAAAATATAAGCTAAAAAGGACCAACTAGTGTATATTTTCATGTAGTATTGAGAAATAAAGATAGCTAGAAAATAACATGGAAAGAAATCAGACAATTCTGAAGATGATTTCTGAATTTATACTTTCGCGCCATGATTTCGAGTCGGTTAGGAAAACTATAAATAAAGCCCTAATTTTGTCCAGAAGCATACACAAGACATTTGGAGGTCATAAGTAGGCATAACCTAGAAATAAATAACCAAAGAAGGTTGTTTTAAGGGTCCTAAGGTCATATCGGCTGGAAGCCTGATATGGTTGCAAAGTTTGAAATTTAAGAGAATAATCATTAGGTTATCAATTTGTTTACTTTTATATCTATAAATAATCAACTCTTTGATTTATGAAGTGTTCTTGTTGAGATTTAGGATCATATCCTTTATGAATATTGATATTAATTAATACCTAATTTTATTATTGATTAATATTAGGATACTGAGAGTTTTTTAATTTATTATGTTTTCTTAATTAAAGACACATGAGTGTTAATATTGATATTGTTATATATATATATATATATATATATATATATATATATATATATATATATGTAATTGAGTATCATGATTGTGATTGATTTCAAATTATGTTTCTTAAATTACACTATTTGATCAGTTATCCAAGCTAAGAAACTAAGTCAAGAGCGTAGGCAATGACGACTAATGGAAGGCTATGTCCCAAGGTTAGAAATAGGGATATTCATTTGATGTTTGTGATTGTACTATTGATTTAGAAAATTTGAAAGGTTTCCATGATTAATGGGACTGATCATACCAATTAAGTATTTTATAATACAAATTAATAGACTGAGACTAAGGGAGCTATCCTTGCTGGTAGACAACTTAGAACATAGGATGTGTGACTTGATTATTCGATCTAATCAATTTAAAATCAGTAACAACAAACCAATATTCATTTAAAGGAATTCAACTATAAAATAAGGAATGATTGAATAACAAATATGAGTACCTTTAGATCTTTTAGCTATACAATTAACCATGATTATTTATATACTTATTTAGTTGCTACTTTATTTGAGTGACACTTTTCATAAATTCCCTTTATATGTTTTCTTTTGAGGTTGATTAATAATTAGATATAAAAATGGTACTACATCTCCATTCCCTATTTGTTTGAAATCCTTACTTACTGAAGCTATGCTATTCATGATCATGTACACTACTTGGTTTAGATAGTTTTAGTTTGGTTTTGTATTTATAAATTTCAAAGTGAATTTGTATTTAAAGTTCATAAAATCAAGTTTTTGGCGCCATTATCCGATGGAATAGTTTTCAAGTTATTTCAAGTATATATTATATACTATCTTTTACACATCAAGTTTTTGGCGCCGTTTTCGGGGAATGGATTTCAACAACTATTGGTGTATTTAGTTATCAATCAATGGATTCTTTTTGAAAATAAAGTTACTATTTTTCGTGTGATTTTTAATTTTTGTTTTGTGTTGATAACATGTTTGAAGGTGCCCTTGATCAATGATGATTAACAATAAAAGTGAATGAAAGAACACAGAGAAGTAACACAAAGGTTTTTCACTAAGATAAGGTTCTCACCAAGAGAACGAGCACTAAGCTCTAGGGTTTTGATGATTCAACTAATGATTTGAACCCTAATACATATAGAAAAGTAAATATGATGTGAATCCCAACAAATCAGGGATATTACCTAATCTATGTAAATAATAGAGTATGTCCAATATCCCTAAGATATCAGATCTATTAACTAACTATATATCTATCTATATATACATCATATTAAATGATTATAGATATCACGCTGACGCGACTTTGTAGATATGACTTTGCGCTGGCACTGGTAATGAGACACTAGAATTAATAGGAGTCAACGTCAATTTTTTACATCATCAGAATCTAAGGCTTGACCTTACAATCTCCCCCAATCCGATGATATCAAAACCCAAAATCTTCTTCTTTTAAACGACGATAAAACTCATCAACATATTTTTCAGCTTCTCGATTCACCCAGAAATAATCAGAAATAGAAAGCTCTTTCTTTCTTTTGTTCAACTTAAGATATATCAAAAACTGATAGTGTAACGCCATGTTTTGAGTCGTTTCTTAATTCGGGTTCGTAACCCGAAGATCAGTTGTTATAAGGTTTCGGGCCTTGGGGAAAGAGAAGTTTAGACCCATTTGGATGTGGGTAATGTAGATTTTGTGATCCAAGAGTTTGGTTTGTGCTTTTGAGCACAAGGGTATATCGGTAAAGTAATGTTTCAAACCTTTTATTGAATTTAATGATTTTAGCTCGATGTGTTTTAAGTCAAAAGTAAATAGATAGGGTTGTAGAGCTCCTCAACACCTTTCCATGAAATGTTGGGCGTACAAGGAATATATGTTTGGGACACAGAAGTTATGGCCTTCGGAAGTTAGAATGGTAAAAGGGCTAGTCGGGAATGTTGGGCGTACAAGGAATATGTGTTTGGCGTTCGTGGCTGGGTGATTGCGAAGGTTCCTTCAGAAATGTTGGGTATACCATATAAACGTTGTGTTTTCGCGACTCAGACTCAAACCCTATTTTCGGGTCTTGGACCCTATTTAAAGGCCTTAAGTCATTTCCTAACCTCTTTACCTTTAGCCTCCACCCTCTTAAGATGTTTCCTCAAAACCCTAGCCTCATATGGAAGATTATTGAGATTTTGACTGTATTTGGTGGATTTTCAGTGCATTTGGAAGAAGAAGAACTTATTGGAGAAGAGTTGGATTTCTTAGAGCTTGTAGATCCTAGCTTGGTTTTTCTTGATCTATCTTCTGAAGGTTGATTCTTGAGAGTATATGCTACTCCAGAAGTTTTGTGCTTTTTGGTTCCATGAGTTGATTCTTGAGAGTATATGCTACTCCAGATGTTTTGGGTTGTTTATTTTGAGTTTTTAAAGGTCCCTTATTCATAAAGTTTGTATCTTGATGGCTGTGGACCAACCATGTACGGGTTGTTTATCTCTTGGTCAAGCTAGTAGACTAGAATTGGGTTTTGGGTTTCTTCGAGCCATGCAAAGGCATCAAGTTGATAACTTTATTGATTAAGACACCCATTAGAATTAGATCAAAGCATTGGGTGTAAAGTCTTAAAGGATTAAGGTTTAAGAAATTCCTTGGTCATTTTTTATGTTAAGAAGCTTAGGTTTGGTGTTGGGCTCTATTAAATCATGCTAGGTCATAAAGTCAGGAACTTTATGACTCTAGACGTCCATTAGGTTTGAACTTGAGGATTTAGCCTTTTGGTCTTAAAGGAATAAGACCTAAAAATGGAGTTAAGTTTTGAGCACTGTACGCCAGGCATACTGAAGTGGTACGCAGGACGTACGCACCGAGGTGCCTTAGTGGGCGTTTTAGGCCTTGGGCCTTTTGGGGTTTTGGGCCATGAGTTGTTGGGTTAGATGTGGGTAGGGTAAAATAGTCTTTTACCCGTTGAGATGATAGAGTACGAATTGGACTTTGGACTATAGAAATTTCCTTAATTATTGATTTGGGATACTTTGGATGCGTTCAGTGTGAAGAGCCCG